TTTTATTTTATCGGTCATAACCGGTCGGTCACGGTCAGTCATAAAATAACCGATAATAACCGACCGTGACCGACCATGACCGACCGAACCCATCCCTACTAGGGATGTTATGTGGTCCGGTCTTGGACTAATAGACCACGGTTAGTCTTAAGACCGGTCTGAATTCGAAAAAAATTGGTCTGCTCTAAGTCTTAAGACATGACCAGTCTGGACTGGTCTGGATTAACAAAGTCTTAAGAATAAAGACCAAAATAGACCAAACCAGACTTGGACCAAAATAGACCAGACTGGACCAGACCGGACTGTTAACATCCCTAAATTCAACAAAACTCATTTCTGATTGGTTAAATATTATATTATATTCTCGAATTTTCGATATTGGTCTTTTTTAAGACCCTCCCTAAATATGTGGTCGGCTAAAGCGGTGCGAGGTTTAGGTTACCTTTTGGTGCATTTAGGGTTTGTGTGTTATATAGATGTCAAGAATTTGATTTATGCAGTATGATATCATACCGGGTGTTTCAAAAGTCCCACTCTTGGTCCCTAATTTTTCAGTGACTTTATATACATATTTGTATAAATAATCATCGTAATCTCTATATATAAGGTCCCACTATTAGTTGTATCTTGATGAGCTCTACAACTTTACTTAAAGCCCCAACGACATTTTACTTAGTAAGGAAAAGGTTTTAAATACTAAAATAATAGGGACCAGTAGTAGGACTTTTGAAACACCCGGTATATTGAATTAGCCGACTCCCTAAATACTATATCAAACAATTATATATGGATAAAAGAAATCCCGAAGATTAAGATTAGATTAAATCTTTATATCTTTAGAAGTTTTTCCTAGTAACACATAGTTGAGGGTCTTTTCAGGGCTTGTGATACTCTGATTCATAGCACCAATAAAACGATATATTATGCTTATGAATTCACATAGAATTCGCCGAAAGAAACTCATAAGATCAGGTTTAGTAGAATTCTTTTGCTTTAGAATAATATGTAATGATTTAAACAAAAATTGAAGTAAAATTGCGTGAATCTAACTTCTATTATAATAGCCGTGTGGATTTTGTTTAAATCTCGAAATTTTATTGTGTAATCATAGTGCGATCCAAAATAATTATATGAGTAATGTGTGACATTAGGGGGCTGAAATTATGAATTAGCATTAGAGATTAAAAAAAAAAAGAAGAGTAATTCATACATATAAAAAATTTAAACTTCGTCTCTTTTTTTGTTGGACACAAGAAAAATTTTAAGCCACATTTTCTTGTGTTACTATTTTCTTCAGGCTTAATCTAAAGAAATAAAATAAATTTTACGTTCTTTGACACTTTTCTTGGCATGACAAATAAGCCCATGTTGATCATATTGATGTGACTGAAGTTGACACCCGACTGAATTTGTAGCTTCAGTTGTACTAACTGAAATTAGCCCGAGATTAGATCATCTTGCATGCATTAATGAGCAAAAATGTGGTACGTACGTAATTGGTGATGATAGTGATTACTGAGAAATGATAAGAAAAAATTAAATTATAATAAAGACAGAAGATTGAGAAAGAAAATACTTCAGTTTATAACTTAAAGTATCATGCACTAACATTTATTTCGCATTATTCAAGTCATGACGTATAGAAATTGCGCGCATAATACGCACCGCTCATGAAAGTTTGGAATACTGCTTTTCTCTGGAGAATACCACAGAGAATATTATTTCGGAGTTCTCATGCACGAAGTACATTCCTATGAATACGTATAAAAAATAAATAAATATGCAAATGAAATAATATCTTAAATGGATAAGTTAAATTAGTTGTGTACTACAAACACTGAATTTATACTGGTCCGGACAATCATACACTGAATTTATACTAGTCCGGACAATCTTACACTGAATTTACTTATACCGGTCCGGGTAATTAAATATGACATATAAACAGGTCAAGTTACACACTATTTATCTGCAATACGCATTAGTTTTATAGTGATTTACATATCCGGTCATAATAAAATTAATATTTCCCCGATAGTATGCACTTTTGATTTAACTTTATAAAGTTTGTAATCTATCATTTTTATTCTACTTTGGATTGTATCTAAACGATTATAATTAATCGACAATATCTTCAGCACTTTACTAAACTACTAAACTAATCAAACTTATTTCTTGTTACTAAACTACTGAACTAATTAAACTTATTTCTTATTACTAAACTATTGAACCAATAAACTTCTTGTTACTAAACTACTGAACTTCTTGTGTAATACAGTCATTTGTTAAGGAATAATCAATTGTACCCCATTTCTCGGTTTTTCCCGTACATACATGCATATCGTACGTTATCTTTTAAGCTTGGTAAACAAATAAACAAGTTTTTGTGATAAATCACATTATCAAGTGACTCAAGTGCCTCAAGTCTCTTATCAATTTATTATCGGGTGGATATAATCGGTGCCAGACAAAATGTAAAAAAAATGAAGGTTTCCATTAAAAGTTTCTATTAATGTTCGACATAATCGCAAGACCCTACATTAAATAAACTATTAAAACTGAATTATGTAATCCACCTTTGTTATCTATTATAGTAATTTTCAATCATTATGTAGTTTAATATTGAATACATGATTACAAAAGTAGGATCAGATGGTTTGGTTTTTATACGTTTATAAAAAATTCGGATTGTTCTCATTTATTTGTACACATCGAAGATAAAGCTAACGATGCTACCTCCCTGAGACTTAATTATCGCGCCGCGTGAAGTCGGAGTTTGTTAAACTCCGCTTATGATTAGTAATCTATATTACTAAACATAGGCGGAGTTTGAATATTGAAGCTTCGACATCGCATGGTGCGACATTTAAACTTCGGGATTTTGGTTTTCGGAATTTTGATTTTCGGGATTTTGATTTGACTTAGACCCGGTGGCGATACATCGCTATAGCGATAAATTATAAAGCCCTTATTTGGATTCATTTAAATTCATGTAAAAATTCATTTTAAAATTTTAATATAAATACAAGGTCTCTCTTCCACTTTCTTTAATTATGAATTTATAACATTATATATGTATATCAATATGGAAAACATGAATAGAGTACAAGACTTTGTCACTTACCTTCGTAATCCTGTGGTCTTACAAAGAATTTTAAATTTGAATAATATCAATCCAAATTTGCTCGTTCAAATTTTACTACGAGCAAATAAAAGAAAAAATATTACTGCTTACAACTTGCTTAAAGCAAGAGTTAACGAAGAAGGATTTTTAGTAAATGTAACTGATGGATTTATTATTGGAAAATCTGCAGAAATAATATGGAAAAACTTTACGGCCGCAGAAAAAAGTATATTCATTACTTCTGCAAGTCAAATCCGATCTAGACTTGCTTTCTGCTGAATTCGTTAAAGTTTAAACTTTTTATTGGCAAATTTATGGCAAAATCTTATAGATGATATTCGTGTATAAATCTGGCAAATCTACAAAATCTGAACAGTAATCCGGCAAATCTGAATATGCATAATATTTTTTACTTATATAGGATAATTAACTTTATATAAAATATGGTACAATATAGTTAATATGTATATGGAAATTATCAAAATAGTTTGATATATATTAATGTTATGTTCCGTCGTCGATTAAATATTTTCATCTGTCATTTTATAAAAAACGATAAATATCAAATACTTTTTTCTAAAAACAATAATTTTGTTTTTAAAAAAAGATAAATGTTACATTTTAAGCTTTAAATAATAACAAAATTATATAGTTTATTAATATCATTAAAGTTGATGATTTTAATTAAAAGAGTTATATCTCAATTTTATTACGTTATAAATTTTATTTATATGAGTGCAATGTACAAATATAGATTAGCACGTGATTTGCTGAGGCATGTATTTATCAATAAGTAGGGCTAGTCATTTTCTGCCATGAAAGACCCCTGCTTTACATTTCGATAATGCGATAAATTTTTTAGAATTATGCCGCGAATTATGCGGACCAGGATAAGTATTCGAAATTTTTATAATTTCGTAACTTGACAGATAAATTACAATGTCTCCCGAAAATCCCTAACAAACATGCTCGTGTTTTTGTGTTCGTCAACTGTTTTATTTTCCAGGATGTTCCGATGTTACTATATTTTTAATACAAACTGCTTTATACGCAGATTATGCTCTATTAATTATGCGAAATATGCTATCACGGTTATGCTACCCGATAAGCTATCTGGTAAGCACATGACTAAAATTAATAGTACTAGTCTGGAATTTAAATCCATAGACAAATTAGAGATTCCTTATATCAAATATATTTTCGTTTTTCTTTGATCATTTTTCTTTCTTTATTTTTCTTTGATTCATTTCTTTCGTTATTTTTCTTTGTTATGCATTTTTTCTCTATTTTTCTTTTTTTTTCTTTTGTTATCTTAATAAAGCAAAGGCCAATTAACTGACTATATTAAGTTTAGCCCCTATAAGTAACTTTTTTTGCGCCATTATTCAATAAAGATGACGAAATTATTTAAATTATTTGATTTACAGTACTATGAACACCAAAATTATTTATCAATAATAAATTAATCAATAATAAATTAAATTAAATAATGATTGTTCTAACTTAAGCAGAGCGAGTATAAATTGTATTGAGCTTCATAACTTGCAAATATCAATTTAAAATAAAAATTTTTTTTGTATTTTATTTTTTATAATATACTTAAGAATTTCAAATATTTTTCAAGAGTTTCTTATCCTATATTTTGTTAAATATTACAATTCAAGAATTTCCTAAATAAAAAATTTTCTGCAATGTAATTTATCTAATTTATGCATAACAAATGCTTATAAATTTGTAACAATATATTATCAGAAGAATTGCACATTAACTCTGAATTTCATCTCTATAAAAAAAAAGTGAAATATGGGGTGGTTCGGGTTTGTAGTATGTTGAGAAAGTGTGAACTTGTGAGCTGCATCGGAAACATTACTGGGTTGATATAATAACTCACTACTCATAATACCAATACTAGTTAAAATACTTTTAACTAAAACACTATTTCTTAAACGGTTTTGCAGGCAAATTTGCCTGCAATTTTAAAAAATATTTGAAATTTTTTAAATAGTCTAAAATTTAATTAATAATATAATATATAATTTCTATATATTTATATTATTTAATAGAGAATTTCTATTTGTACACTAGGTGTTTGAATACTTGTTAAACAAAACAAATAGTTGAATGCAGTATGCAGATCATTTTTTGTATAACAAAAATAAAGGAAAAATGAAAAATTAGTAATATCTTAAAATTTTAATTATAAAACCATCTTTTGGGCTCTAAGAAAAAACTCTTTGCAAAATTTTACTATAAACTACACCTTTTACTAACTTTAACCTCTAACCCTAACCTTAATATTAATTAAAATTATTTTTATTTACTTGTATTTTTAATAAAAATTAATTGTTTTGTATAACAAGTATTTAAATACCCAGTGTACAAATAGTTATTTTCTATTAATATTATTAAAAATTTTCAAGTATCAAAAAAATAAATTAGTTGCAAATTTTGTCAAGCTTAATTTTATATTATTTACAATATCTCGTGATTCAGTAATCAAAATTTGACAATTTTGGTATAAGTTGAATAGTCTCATCAAGTGGAATTAATAGTATCAAAATTGCCAAATTTTAATTATCAGAGCATAAGTTATTACTATTTAATCAATTTTTACAAAAATTTAAATATCTCAGAAAATTGCAATCAGAATTTAACATTTTGGCAGCATTCAATTTGTTTAATGAAACAACTCAAATGATACTCAAATTATTAAATTCTGATTATTAAGTTTTGAGATATTTATAAAAAATGGGTTGAGGCATAGTTCTGTATATAAATTCAACCAAATAATTTCAATTTCTATACAAAATTATATCCAAATTGTTTTTTATAAATATCTTGAAACTAGTGATCATAATTTAACAATTTAGATATCATTCAAACAACCTCATCAAGATGAATTGAATGTGTTAAAAATATTAAATTCTGATTGTTAGTTCTTAGAATCATTAAAGTTTTATAAAAATTAATTAAATAGTAATAGCTCATGATCTAATAATTAGAATTTAGCAAATTTAATACCATTTGATTCATCTTGAAATTATTTGTATAATATCAAAAGTGTCAAATTCTAATTACTGAATCACAAGATATTATAAATACAATTCTTACTAAAAACTTCTTTAATTTACAAATTTGTGCAGATCTTTCCAAATTTAATTTTCTAAATTAATAATAAAATTTTTATTATGAATTAAGTTATTTTTTATAAAAGATATAATATTATACTAAGATTATAAGCTTAAAATTAATATTTATTATTTACTAACAATCAGCAAATAAGTTTTTTAATAATTAATAAATTTTTTAAAATTGTCTATTATAAGCTAATAAGTAATAAAATTTTTTTAAATAATATAAAATTAAATAATATTATTATATACTTTTTTGTTTTTAAATATTATTAAAAAAAATTTTTTAATAATTTAAATTTTAATAAAATAGATCAAAAGTAAATTATTAAAATTGCAAACAAATTTGTTTGCAATAGCTTACCATTTAAAAGATAACTACTTTTACAAAACTTTAATATTGGTAATGCAACAATCAAAGTATGAAAAGACTTGGTTCAAGTAACTAGGGCTAATTGAATTAGTAGTGATAATGTTTTACTCAAATAAGTGCTCTTTTAATTCTCTACTAAGTACTTTACTTTCTTTAATATCTTTGTTAATTTGATTTAATTTGATTCAATCAAATCAAATTCAAATTAATAGTTTATTTGATTTGATCAAATTCAAATATGTCTAATATTCAATTCAATTTTAAGAAATCTTAGATATTTGATACTAAAGAATGCTTTTAGATTATATATTAGATAAACCTAGAGTAGAAACTAGTTTATTAAGTAGTATAAAATTTTTACAAGCCCAAACAGGTTTGTAATTATAATATTAGATTTATCAAAATTATTTTGTTTTAATTTTTGATATCCTTTTATTCCTTTCTTTTCTTAATATATGTTTTATCATATTAAATCTTCTATACCTCTATGTTTTTTTTAGTTCTAAATTATTTTTGCTTAATTTTGCTTCTTGACAAGTGTATAACTGCTAGCTGATAAATGGAAAAAAGTTTTTAGTAAGTTAAGGACCCTAAGAAAGGTCAATTGCTACTAAGGCAGATTACATTTAGCTTAAGCATAAAAGAGCCTTTGTTTCAGTTATATTAGTTACAATTATGGATAGAAATTATGAATAAATTTTTTAAATGATTTAATCTTAAATAAACAAGAGTGGGATAGTAAAACTTATAGTAAAAAAAAATTATTTTTTGAGTATTTATTTTGGTTAAGAAATATTGATTTTTTGAAAAAATAAGTTTCACAGAAAAACAATACAAACAGCCAATTATTTATTGAAGTAATACAAGTTACACAATTTTTAATTTAACTGGTTGCTTAAATCACATTAACAATGTATGTACATATATATTTAACAGATAAAATTTCAAATACCTTTTCGAAACTGCTTAAATTTACTATGCATTCTAATAAACCAGATAATTCTACTTAAATAGATTTAAGCCTGTCATAATACTGAAAAAAATAAATTGGTTTCTTGAAAAAACTATTAAATACTATTAAATACTTGAAAAATCCTACACCAAATTATTTCATAACCAATCAGAATAGACTAAAATTTGCCCGTAGATAATCAATTAACTTTTTATTTAGTAAGATCATAATAACTTTAAATAAAATTATGCTTACTTGATTTAAGTTGTGAATGATAAGGACGATAAGCATTCTCAGTTATATTGGTAAAACTGAGGAAAAACAAACTTCAAAGTCTTGTTTTTCCTTGGCACTATTTATATGCAAAATTGGTCTTATGTGTCTTTAATGAAGATGATAAGGAAAAGATATTGCGTGATTTCAATTTTGAAGTCATTTTTGATAAAGAATGGACTAAATTAAACAATAGTTTGTGAAGAAATTTTTATTCACTTTACATACTTATGAAAGAACCAAAAGCAGATTTTACACCCTATCAGGCTGTTTTTAATTTTAATTTTAATTTTTTTTTTAGAGAAATAAGAAGTCTATCATTCAAGGGATCTTAATCCATACAAGTAGCAACTGTCTTCTAAGACCGACGTAATTCACGAACCGACATATTACATAAACTTGTCAAATTTATTTGTATATGTTGTGCCTCAGTTACATCCTTTATGACACCCAGTCTGAGTTAGGATTAGAGTTAAGGTGAAAATCACTGGGTAATTTAGGCCAATTATTGCATGTAATTTAATGCTGGTCATCTGGTAGTCATCTGACG